AGGGAGATGCTGCTGCCCAGCTCTGTCCTAAATTTTAGTGAGCTGCTTTTAGTTTGGACTAAAACAGCTTTTGCCTGAGATGTATTAAAAGTCAAGGCACTTCCCACCCATTTTGTTCCTGCTTACTGTGTGGCTTTACTGCTTAGCTGTGAACAGAAGACCACCCACAGCAAAATCTCTCTTCCTTATGGAAAAAAAATGGAAATGCCACAGCTCCTTTATGAGGTCTTACATGGTGATTCTATGAATTCTTTACTTTTCTCAAATATATTATGCTATTTCACTGGATTTTCCTGAAGATGCTCATGAAATTGATATAACACCAAGTATGAAAACAGGCTTTACATCAGGCCAGCAGCAGTTTCCAGCAGGAACAAAGTTTGTGGGATCATGGGGACATCTCTTTTTTGTGTTTGTGGGAACATCCCTTCTATGACATTTGTCAACCCCATGAAGTTTAACCATGCAGCAGTGTCAGCAAGGTTTGACTACAAAACTTTTTTTCTTGGCAATAAGACCACCTTGAGCTGGTTTCCCACCCACTGGTCTCCACCACTACAATTTTTACTGAAGTACTGCAGTCTTTAAATTCTGGTCCAAATTGGAATTAAACCTAATTTTAAACAGTGTCTAAATCCTCCAAGAAATCATCTTCTCTTTCTGCACCAACTTCTGAGAGATTTCTTCCCTATCCATAGACACCTTCACCTGCTTGCCAATTACCTAGAGAGAAAAGTCAGCCCTGGAGCTATACTAAATCTACTACTCTCTACGTCAATGAAATCTTAAAGCAAAATTTAGTGGTTTGACAGAAAAGTGACCTTTACTACATGGAGACTACTACATGGTATTTTTGCAGGAAGCAAAAGCATTTTCACCCAGATTCAGGGACTGCCAAAACCTGCAAGTTGCAGACACTTCCCTGCCTTTGCTGTTTCTTGGCTGAGCTGCAAAAATAAAATCAGACAGAGATCCCAGAGGACTCAGAATTTTCTCAATAACTTGACCTACCACAAAACTAACTTTTTCTGATCTCTGATTTTTATCTCAGCAGCAAGGAGTGCAATGAGCTACTATGTTCACCCAGAACAGTGAATACTTCCACAGACAGGGCTGAGAATGGAATAACATGATAGACAACAACATGAATATGGCTTAAAAGTGAAAGGAAAAAAGAAGAAAAGTAAGAAAAGGAAGAAAGGAAATAACTCTGATGTACCCAGTGAGAGCTGGTGTTTGCCCTCCGTACAGGTGGCTGAATAGAGGAAGATGCCTCCACCTGGGTTTGCAGCTGACCAAGGCAAAGAGAAATGAGGCTATCTCAGAGGAGGTATCCTGGCTGTTGGTGGACAGAAGGAAAGGTACCTTGGAGGGGAGGAAGGTGGGGAGAAGTGATATTTACATTTCAGATGAGAATTGTACTCTTTCCCAGCTTCTTTGGAGGATCTGATGACCTTTCTACAAGCACCAGCATTCACCATAGCACTGAAGCAGAAATTGTCCACCCCACCCTCCCCATGAAGCATATGAATCTAATATTTCTTTTTTTTTGTGAAAACAAGAGTAATACCTGCTTACAACTCTGCAATATTGTTCTCCAAGTGTGTGGTAAAGCTAATAATCACACAAGAGAGAGCTCTCTTGTTGTTAGAAGCCAGATTCAAATATTCCTAAGGCAGCTCTCCATCACATAAGCCTGTAGACACACACACACACAAATCTATAAAGGCAAACACTACTATATATCCTACAAGCAAACTGCCTTAGAGCTGTTTCCTGTTACCAAACAAAAGGACTATAAAAATGAAGGAACTTCTGATCTTAGGCTGCTATTTCCACCTCGTATGACCTTAATTTTATGGAAACTGTACCCTTGTGTTATTTAGATTTTACTCATAAAACATAGACAGAGGCAATGTATAGGCATTGGGGAACAATCAAGAAAAATATAAAACTTCTTTGAACAGCAAACAAAAAAGTTGTTAAAATGATTAATTTTTATAAATCATGTAAGGAAAAGCCATTTGCTGGAGTGGAGATAAGGTTTTTGGTTTTTTTTTTTCTTTTCTATTTTCCTTTAAGGAAAAAAAAAAAAAAAAAAAGTTATTGGAGGACTGAAATGTTGCAGCAAACAAAGTTCTACTTCCGTTATGTACTTCCCCAGCAATTACAACCTAGGAAAAACATTAAACACTGCGGATTATTTTATAATGTAGGGATATTTATCCACCTATTACTCATGACCTTACTCTAAGCTTCCGCAGTTCTCTGTGCATCCTATTTTGAAGGAAGCCTTAAACCACAGCAGAATGCCTGTAAGTCTGATAGATTACTACTTGTAAGTCTTCTAAATGTTTGCAAGCATTCAAGGTTAGTTCAACCTAAACTCCTAAAAGAGCATATTCAGCCTTTTGTCCTGTTATCTGAGAGGTAACAGGATTGGCAGGCAAGCCAATCAGGTATTATAGGGAATTGCTACGGGATTCTGAGTCTTCAGCATTAAGTACCTTTGGAAAGATGGAAACCCAAAAGCATTTTGGGGGTTGAGGGATGGAGCTGTGTCCTCCTATTCAGCACAGGCACTTCTGTCAGCAAGTTAGGAACTGACTGTCTCCCAGTCTTGTTCAGACCAAGGCCCTTTCCAAGCATTCTTCCTAAGGAAATCCCCCCACCTTCAGCTCAGAGTGGTTTTTTAACTGCTCTTTTTCTTACAGCATTAGTCAAAGGCTATGAGAAATTGTACATCTTTGCGGCTTTTATTAACTTATTTCCTTTCCAGCAATATACTGTAAAACCAGTAGTGAGATTCTCTTTAAACTCGAGTCTTACTGTGGCACTATCAGCAGCCTCATGGTCCTTTTCAATGCTCAATAATCACAGCCTTCTATATCTTAATATTGAACACATTGATACAAAATGCCTTTAAATGGTGCCTTTTGTAATTCAGGGGTTTGTTTTTCTGTAGCCTGTAGAAGTTCTCAGACGAATTCTGAAAATAAGGAAGGAAATCCAGAGATGAAAGAGGGTGCAAAGTCATCATTCAGAGGATAGACCTGGATTACCTGCATTCCTGACAGGACCAAAGCCTACCTCAAATTACAATCTTCATCTCCCATGTGCACACACGGGGATTTGGAAACTGGTCAAACCTCCAGCATGACAGAGTTCTGCAGCAGTTACTTCAGACGAAAGAAAGTGATAGACTATGGTTTCAGAACACTGAAGCTTAAAGCAGCAGGGCTAAACCAACAGTAACACAGAGAAGAGGATAGACAGAATTACAACGAAGGAAGAAAACTGAAACCAATATTCCAAGTCTAAAAGAACCATTCTTAAAGCAAGTTAGTTTTGAATCCCTAATGAACATACACAGACACATACAAAAGCCCAAACCAAACTATGCTTCTTGCTGAATAGATTTTAATATCCTTTGCTGGAAACACACAAACTATTATTGTTTGGAGGTTGTTTTTTGCTTCTTTATGCTTAGCTTCAGAGATACAGAACTGCTTTTCAGCTAGAGATGGGTTTTGCTCTACTAGACTTCTAAGCTGCTTACTTGTTACTGGAATTGCCATTAGGTCCCTAGTAAACAAATTAGCAACAACACTGCTTGCTCACCCTACAACTCCCTCAGACCTTTCTCTGCTTTCAACTGCAACCTACGCAATGGAACAGGATTCTATTTTAGCAATAATACAATTTCATAGTTAGAATCCCCTTCAGTTTGAAGAAAACAGCAGCAGTGACTCATCACAAGGCTTTTTTTTTTTTTTTTTAAAGGGGATTTCCTACTGAAGTAAAGCACCAATGAACATCACAGGAGGCAAAAATCATCAAAGATCACAGTAAAAAGGGAGGCCAAGGATTCCTCAGGGAGGCAATACAACTACAGAAAAAAAATGGCTTTTATTTCAGCTGGGGACTCACAATCCAAACTGGATTTGTTATTCTAGAGACACAAACCAGAGTGTGAGGTTTCACTCTGAAACCCAGCCGAGCCAACACAGAGCTGCTTTCAGCAGCCAGAAGTGGTTTTGGAGCTTTTGATTCATTCTGGATTCAGGCAGGGACAGAGCCATCATACACATCATATTCAATATGGTACCTGACAGAGAACTAGGCTTGGTTTAACTGCTGAACCAGGCAGTAGAGGGAAATGCTATCATTCCCCAATACCTGGGCTCCTTCCATGAGTCACAGCCACGCACTCGGCTGCTTTCAGTAAGTATGAAGGTCACTTTCAAGTTACTGTTTCTAGTAAAGATAAACTCCGCTGCACGGTGAAGGCAGGAGAGTGGTTGCAAACTACGTGGGCTGTTTCCTACGTAGGCCGTTCACAGGAAGGGGCTGCCTCTTGCCTTGAATACAGATGCCAGCCATCAGGATTTTTAATAACTAGGTGTTTGCCGAGTGGGTGAGGCTTTCAGAGCACTGGCATACCAGGACATTTGCAGTGGCATCACGTTTTTGAGGAAAGATCAGCAGGCAGAGCCTGAACCCAGGTTTGTTCTGCCACTGGACCACAGTGTGACCTCACCAAGTCACAGCTCCTGCCTGCCTCAGTCCAAGAGAGAATGAAAACTGCCCCTCTTCATGGCCCTCCTGCACTCAGCCCCCCAACAAGAGCTGCTTTAGGCATCAGCTTTGTACTAAGTTTGGCTACAAAAGTTCTAATTCTTCATTACAGAGTGATGGAAACTGGAGGTAACACCAGCAGGCCAATCTGTCTTCTGCCTCTGCCCTCTACCTATGCTATCTGCATGCAAAATAAACCACCACAAAGCTGAACAACGATTCTAATATCTCACTTTCGAATGCCAGGCATGGAAAGCAAGATGTAAGCAGGCAGTATCAACACACATGAATTAAAAGGAAAGCAATATAAGGGGTATAAAACAGCTTCATTTCTCCACAGGAGCTAGAGAGGACCTGGCCTAAACTTCCCCTAACTTGTTTGTGTATTATTAATTATTATATAAATTAGAGATGAAACTCACCCCTTTGTAAAGCTGTTATTCTTGCACAGCAGAGTTTTGTGGAAGGTCTCTGAATAGAAGAGGTCCTCTGGACTGACTCATAGATTCAGGTGTTAGAGACCCCTTTACACCTTTCTCAGGCTCAGCTGTCCCAGTGCTTCCATCTAGGAAAAAGTCATGGAAACAAAGAACACTCTCAGTGGAATCCAGGGCATCAATTAAAGGACTAATCACACAACTCCACAGAAGCCTGCAGTGGCTTAGAGAGGTGTAGAAAGCCAGAGGCACCAGGCATGCAAGGGAAGGAAAGGCTAAGTGTTTAGACAAAAAAAAAAAAAAAAAAAAAAAAAAAACCAAACAAAAAAAAAAACCCAAAAAAAAAAAAAATAAAAAAAAAAAAAATCTGTTCAGCTGGGCTGTGTTGGAAGACAACCCACAGCATTTTCTAGACATCTCCTATTCCTCCTTCTCACTTAGTAAAGGATCAAGCTAAATTTCCATTCATTATACTTATGCACAGGCAGAAGAAATTTTCTTCTGCTAGTAAGAAACAGTTAATCTTTTTCAAATCTCTTTTCAGTCCTCTTTCCCAAATTCTCTTCATGTAGCAATTTCTTGCTACATCTCCACACCCACAGGCCCAGCAATAAAAATTCAAATTTTTATTTGGTTCAGATTATTTCAATTTGGTTCAAATTTTTATAAAAAACTGGTCTGTCTCAAAAAAAAAAAAAAATATCTGCTCTGTTCCCCCAGGGTTAGCTGGGATTCATCTTCTAACCAGCACAAGGCATTTTGAAATGCCAGATGGGTGAATCTGCAACCAGCACAGAACTTTAAGAACACAAAAGAGATCCATTTTTTTATGTTCACTACAGTAGATTTTGGTTACTCACAGTTTGGCCATTTCCACAAAATGAGAGCAAGCAACAGGAAACAAATCTTTCAACACATCTAGCCAAAACAGTTATCCAGTATCTTACCAATAGGAAAAAACATCTTACCCGTAGGTGAAAATCGCCAGAAGGTTCTAAGACTGAATTATTGGATAATGAATATCGATTAAAGTTCTCTAAATACTCTATTTTAAACAGAATTTTAAAAATTGTTTGGACTATTTCTCCTGGTCAGATTTTCCTCAGAACATCAAACATTTACCAGGCAGGAAAACGAGCTGTGTACTGAGTACATCTAAATCATGCCAGCTGCAGCTGATTTGCAACATTCCCATGCCTCATTGTTTCACTCAAAAGCTAATCTGAATATGTTTATTTCTACAAGTTAAATTTTATTTCTAGATAATATTATCCACAATGATTTTACACCTCCTTGGACTAAAGAAGGACAACTTCAACATGAGAAAGTTTATCTGCATAGTTTATTTTTATAGTCAATTACAGGGGAGTTCAGAGGTTTAAGTGTATCCTACTATTTGGGCAGTTTTTTGCACAACAAACCTCGCAGTTTATTCCTTCCCCCAAAAAGTTGTGGGCGATTCTGTTAAACATCCCACAAGGTGTCACTAGAGATTCATCAGCCAAAATACTCCTCAAACGCCCTTCCCTATCCTTGCTCCGCCTTCCTTGGAAACATGTTAGACATCTTTGGAACGGGATCAGAAAGAGTTAATGCATGAGCAGAGCGAGGCCTTTCAGCTGTAAGCAGCAAGGCAATGATTTGAACAGTAAATGAACCGAGTACACACAGATCAATGGGAAATGCAAATACCTTCAGGCTCAAGTTTTAATGAACTACTAAAATTCACCCTAATACAGAAAAATAAATAAAATCAATCGTCAGCTCTGCCCCAGTTCCACCCTAATGTTAGAAAAGATGGTTTGTCTCGTTTTGATCATTCACAGTTCCATGTCCATCTTTCACACCTAACCCTGAAAACTATACAGATGTCTTGCAAAAAAAATCTGCTATCACATATAATGACGTGCTTGCTCCTCATTTACAGTTATCATTAAGGCCCTTTTTATTGAATACTGCATGAACACAGCATGAATTCAAAACTACCGTGCTGGATTTAAAAAGAATATCACCCCTGTATTTCCCTTTCTTGAAAAAAAAAAAACCTAGATCTCACTTGAGAGAAGGGTTGTTTAACATGTGAAAACCATCTCTGATGCAGCTCTCAGGCAGAAATTACAAACCAGTATTTAGTTTTTCATAGTCTCTTAAAAAAGAGTAGGATTTGGAGAAGAAGATGACATAATTACTCACAGGTGAGCAGAGGCACAGCTGACCCCAGCACTCACCTGCTCCAAGGTGCCCCAAGAACACCATGTGTAAGGACTTACCTTGCCTGTTTCCTGGCAGACACACAGCTGCAGCACATCTTCCAGGAACAAAGTTCCAGGAGCACTTGGGATCTCCAAAAGAGATTTAAAAAAACAGGAAGGAATAACATGGCTACTCTAAGTTTACATGGGAGAGGAAAATACCATATGCTAAAAAAACTAACATGAATACGTTCCAAAAAAAAAAAAAAAAATTAAAAAAGCAAGCCAGTGTTTGCCTTGTTCTTCACAAGGTTATCAAATATTTCCATTCAAAAGAGCTGATTACTGTAAATTCAGAAAGTTCCTTTGCCTGTTCAGGTTACTTGGCAAACAAATCACTTTTGTGATTATGTCCTTCTCTGCTCCTCCCTCCTCATCAATAAAGTGGGTTTATTCTACTTCAGACTTTATGAACACACATCAATACCTCACTGAAAAATATTAGCATTCCATGAACAAATTATGAAAATACTTTACACTTTTTCTCATGGCTTGTGTTATCTTGAATAGCCAGGAGTCCTAGCCTCCATTTTCATTCTTAAGAAGTGCAAATAATATCTTCATTTGCCCTAGTATTTGTGGAACCTTAAATCACTATGGCAAGACTTGTATCTTACAGCTGATCTTGACAGGCTGCTAAATTTGTTTCCCTGCACAATGGTATTTTTTGCTTTTTTTAAACAGCAAAGTTCTTCCACTCCCTTTGAGAATGTAGGGGGCTTTTTTTTAGTGTGCATAAAATGTTTAAACGAGTATCTGTGAAGACTGTAACAAAAACAAATCACTTTTTGAGACCCTTTATATTTTTAAGTTCACCATTTAGGAACTGAGATTTCTCCTGATTGCTAATGAATAGCACTGTTTTTCTCTCCCCTTTCCATTTCCCCTTTGCCTTCCCTCCACTATATCCCCAGATTTGGGATGGGGGATACCTACAGCTACATGCTTTTTCGTACACTCAAGGGAATCTGGAAATGACTTGTCTGAAGGATTTCAGAGAGCTTTGATCTCTATTTTTTTTTTTTTGTAGATCCATTCACTAATTTGTATTTCAAATGCTAAGCTTCAAAAACAAGATAGTCCTACGACTGGTATTTATTTGTTTTGGCAAACAAGTTTGCAAAGCAAAAGGGATGACTTCTAGATGAATATTTAAACATCTGAGATACAATAAAATCAATTTTGACTGTGTTGTTTATATCATTGGTCCTTTTTCATTCATGAGCTCCAACTGCTTTTAAAAGCACTACTTCACGAAGGAAAAATAATTCAACGCCTCTCTCCATGTTTCTCTCTAATCCTAGGGAAAGAAGAACTCTATCAAACCCTTACCAAGTCCGGCCATGAAATTAATGCTTTCAAACAATTCCCTAGGGAGGGACTGGACGAGCTCGGCTTTTTATGTGCAGCGACGGTGCCATCTACAGCCCGAGCGAGGACACAACCACCCCACCGAGCAACTGGAGCCACAGGGAGCTTTCAGATTGCTTTTGCCACACATTCCCTCCTCCAAAATTCAAGTTTGCCTGAGGATGAAACTTTAATATGATATTTAATACTGATATTTAGAAGGATATATTTTATACTTTACCCATGGAGACACTAAATATTTTCTCGTTGTTTATTCTTAGGCTGCGTGGTTTTTAAGATTCTTCAGTTATGGACTAAACTCATCAATACCTAAATTGGGTGTTTAGCAGATGTTTCTATGGAAACCATGTGTTAGAAGCAAGAAGCAGAAGAACATATTTCTATTGTCACACACACACACACAAAAGACACTGCACAGAGTTGTCAGACTACCAAAAGAAAGTTACTGGACCTTTTTATAAGCCATAGTTTAGCTGTCATTTGTACAATAAAGACTGACATCTATACGTGTTATTTAAAGAAAAAAAAAAACAAAACAAAACAACTCTCCCAGTGTAGCTGGCAGTTTACTGAGAAGCTCCACTTCCTAGGAATTAGAAATTTTTAAAGTCAAAGAAAGAAATATTAAAATGGAAATTCATCAATAAGCAGCTTGATAAATAAAATGTTAATATATCAAGTCAATTCAGAAACAAAATATACACATGCAAGCCTAATGTAACCAGTAGAGTGGGCAAGGTCTTGCCAAGGGTGCCTGAAATAAGGACTGGAAATGAAGTTTGTTACCTGATAATCAGACTTGATGGAACAAAAATTCCAAATTGCAGAAACGCTTCACTGTGGTCTCAAAATGTATTACTTGGTTGTTCTAATCTGTATAAAGGAGATAAGGTCACAAGGAATTGCTTCAGGGAAAACAAAAGGGGGAAAAAAAAGGTAAGAGTGAAAAAGTAAAACAAACCAATGAGATAAAAAAAAGGATCAAGGCAAATGGGAGAAGTCAAAGCTCAACTTCTCACTAAACCAAGCTAAGTTGTTGGGAAAAGAGGGATCTTAAGCAAAGGCAGCTGCAGAGTTCAGTGACACCGTGAAAGCAGACGGTTCCCCGGGATGCCAACAAACAGAGCAGAGCAGCCTTGATACAAATTGAGAGCTATAATTCAGCCCCTTCCCACACACTTCAGTTAGCAGCTTTTTCACCTTGCACAACAGAATCTGGACACTAGGGAAAGACACCTTAAAAAGAAATTAAGAAGAAATTTTTTTTTTTAAAATCCCAAACATGCTGACCTTTTTCTTTTACAAGTAGAAAGATTATTTAGGAATTTTCCTAAAGTATTTGAAATCTTCTTCCCCTCCAGTGTGATGGATCTGTAAGTCAGTGTACTTTTGTTTTATTAAGTCAGTGAAGAATTTATTTGTCTACACTGGAAAATACAGTTCAAAACTGACTAATTTTTTCTTGACCAAACCATTGAGGCAGAAAATTAAATGATTGCACCTGTGATACCACAGGAGAACTATACCCCATCCTGCAGCAGTTCTATGTCCATATACTAGAATATTTATCAAGATGGAATAAATGTAAATAGCAAGGATGCCTATTTCAGATGGGAAAATGAAATGGATTTACAAATCTGATCCCAGAGCACTGAAAAAGCCTGAAAGCTTTCTCATAAATTTCCAAGATGTAACAAGAGATTTATGGAGACTGTGCCATAAATTTTAAATCAATTAATTAAAGCTTTGCTCAGGAGCATGGGGAAAAATGGTGTAAGACCATACAATTTAATAAAGCATGAAAAAGATTAGAGACCGAAAAAAAGTACTATGCCCAAGGGAACAGTAACTTCACCTGAGGAGAGTGAATCCTGAGAAACCCTGGTGAAATTAATTTAGAAAAATAGTGATGGCATTGGAAAGAGCAAATAAAAACTAGAAGGCTATAAAGAGATTTCAACAGAAACTTAAAAAAAAGCCAAAACATTTTCCTCTAAGAAATGCTTATGTAAAAAAGCTTTTCAGTGCAAGAACATTATGTCATTTTAGGACAGAGACCCTATCATAAACTGAACATATTCCATAATACGTCTGAAGAAAAGGTTTTATGATTATTTCTCCAAAGAGCAGAAGTTTCTGCTTTCGGAAAAAAAAAAAAAAAAAAAAAAAAGGAAAATGCAAGGAAATAACAGCTTTTCATAGAAAGCTTTGTATTACTCCACAGGAGGCTGAAAAAAAAAATTAACCTTTTTCATGCAACAAAACATCTTTTCAAGTCTTGGTTGGCACTTTAAACACCCTACAGGGCAGAGATGCAATTGGTAGAAGTTTGTTTGTATCTCTACTAGATACAAACAAATCTATCTCTTCTTTTATGAATGCATTAAATACATACAAACACCCTTAAACCTTCTCAAAAACAATCCTGGCTTGTAGAACAGCACTTTTGTAGCAAAACAAACATTGTGTGACCCTAACTTGTAGGACTGCGAGTCTGTGTTTTTTGGAATGAAAGGAACCAGGTTTTACTGCTTTTGACTGAGCAGGTTTTGTTGTATTGATGTGGATGAGGAGTTGGGGGGAGATTAAACCCTCATAATAAATCAGCATGTGATTCATCTCAAACCACACCAGAGTGTTTAAAATAACTTCATAATCCATCAGCTTCACTGGAGCTTCAACAGAAGAAGCTAATGATGGCATGAATGTCCAGCAGTAGTCCTGGAAGCCAGTTTTGAGGAGTAAAGCAGGACTTGGAGTACAGTCAGAAACAGAGATTGTTTTATTAGTGTTTTTGAAGGGATATACACAATCTAACCTCTTTAGTGTGCATTTACCTGTCTCCTCCTCAGGCTGGCAATGCTCCTGGTCCCTTCCACTGCTTCCAACTTGAGAGACACCAAAAGGGCAGCTTCCACTCTTCACAGCCTTTTGCCCTGTGCACTGAGATGCTGTTCTGTTCACAGAACTGCTCTCCAAATACAGTTCCTAAACTCTCCCAACTTTTCTTACTCTCAGATCAACTCTAATCTATATAAAAATACAGCTTGCCATTATTATCTTCCTCTCCCATCTCTCCAAGTCACCAGCTCTACTAAATCCTTTCCTCTACTTATTCCTTCTTTTTTTTTTCCCCTGGGCAATAATAATCTAGGTCTCCTCTGCATTGCATTTCTCTGATCTCTCAGGTGTCCCTTTCACTCTGCTGTATCACTTGTTTCAATGGCTTCTGTCATGCTCAAAGACTCTGCCAGCAGCACATGCAACCACTGCATGTGAGCTAATCCTGTTACCAGCACAGAGACAGGGCTAACACATCTCCAGGCTGAGAATTTATGTACTTACTCCTTGGATGCAGGCACATCACACATCTCTACAGCTTTGGCAGTCGTTGGCAATTGGTTATTTCTTGGAACAAGCCAATATTGGCTATTGTTTAACTGCTACTGTTACAGGTGCTGAGAGGGTTCACTTCCTTCTGCTCACTGTTTTCCTTGTAAATACTCTGGTATCAGTTGAACAAGCTGATAAATGTGACACTTTTCCCTCATCCATTCAATTTCCAGAGTCTCTGTTCAGTTGAATTTGTCCTTTCAGGCCCCTGTCTTCATCAGCCTGTCAGTCCCTGGCATCATCTCACTGCAACTTAGACACTTGCAGCTGAGAATAAAAGAAGGTTCTCTTTAATTTTATCAAAGAAACTACAAGTAATTCATAATGAAGTAATAAAAAACTTGAAGAAACATTGTCCTCAAAGACCATGACAGCTTTGATAAATATTATCAGTTTAGGGTGTTTATTTTTTTTTTAGAGTGTGGTTATTTTTTCTGTTCTCTGATAAATTCATTAACCTGGAATATTTTTGTGATCAGATGAACCATGCAATTCTGTTGCTGGAAGATGGAAATAAGCACAGGTAGACTGAGGGACAGCAGGGCTTTTCCTGGTTTGCAGAACTCAGTTACAGCCACACACAGGGTAGAAGCCACTGTAAGGGATAAGCTAACCAGCCTGGACTCAAAAACTGACACGCTTCAACAGCACAACTGGTTTTGTTGGCTAAATCAAAGCAGAAGCTCTGACAGATTTATGAAACAATGGGAAAAATCCTGGTGGTGTTAGACCAATAATGGATCTTCTACTCCCTGCAGCCAGGACAAGATTTCCTGGCTTCAAGACAACTGTAAAAAATGCACAAATAATATAGTTACGATTAAGAACAGTAGGAGAACCATCTTCTGCATTTTGGTTTATATTTAATCTAACCATAGCCCCACACATCTGTGCTGAAACATTTATCACTTCCCTTCTACCAAGAGATTGGACTTTTCTTCCTCTTTCTCACCTTATTCTGTAAAGTCCTTTAAATCACAGCCCTCAAGATTACAGGAGCAGCTGGCACCTGTAACAGGACTGAAATTTCATCATTAAAGAGGCACAGATAAGATCACATGAATTTTTAAACAAAGAGACTCAAAGTGAAGTCTACAGCAGATATTCCCTAGTGCAAAACAGCACCAACAAAGCCATAAAGGAACTTCAATGAAAATAAAATTAATACTACAACGGTTATTCATTGACACAATATTTTCTGAGACATCAGAAGAAGCAGGGAAAACAAAACAAAACCATAAGATACTTGGAAGTTCTGGTTAAATGTTTGTTAAAATCTATCACTGAAATTAGCAGTGCAAATAAATATCTTAAAATAAATTTGTTTTCAGTCACAGATTATATCCAAACACAGAATTCTCACCATCAGGCAGTTAAACTTTACATCTGCTGAAGAAAACTATGATAATAACCCATTAAAGTCTTAATTCCTGGCCCTCAGGACAAGTCAGAAGCTTTCTGTCATTGCACAGGAGTGTATCATATAGAATATAAAAAATACATAGGTAAGCAAAGTGTGTCACAAACCCACTGCAATCTGTAGACATTAGAGAAAGATCAGATTATGTCCAGATTATACAAGGATATTTTACCCTAAGTTTTCATTTACAATGAAGTGTACAGTAGCAATGTAAAAGAATCTTATATTGACTGCCAAGGCAGCATGAAGGTCCCACAGATGAGGCAGGGGGTGACAGAAGAGAGCACTGATTTTTTTACAGGCTGTTAAAGGATCCAACCTAACCTCATCTGAAGTGGCACATTCTTATTTCAAGGCCTCATTTATGGGATCAGATCCCAGTGTACCAATTTAGATCACACTTCTCCCCTAGTCCACATTTGTAAACATACCTTTGCAATTTTGCAGTTTGACCCACTGAGAGCAAAAACATTTAGAATTTATATGGATATCAACCCCACAATTTACTGTGAAGCCTAAAATAACAAAGCACTGGCCCTGTTCTCAGACAGCAATTAATCCCCTTTGAAGATGATGGACAGACTGAAAAATACAAGCATGTCCTCAGAGAAGTCAAAAGACCATGATAGTCCATTGAAAGTCTCCTGTGAAGTCCCAACAGGCTCTGGATCAGGCCCCTATAACCCTCCAGAAAATGGCAACACCACCCTTTCACATGTCCAAGCATGAGAGTCACATGTCCAAGCATGACTGGAAATTCAATTCAGTATTTACTCTACAGACCACACCTCCTGCATCTGGACTCTCTTGTACAGCACTTTTTCAGCTTCTCCATTTTCCAGCAGAACACTGCAGTTTGCAGGGCAGTACAATGGCATTTAAATTTGTAGCCAAGAATAAATCTGTAAAAAAGAGCACATTAATTATTCATGCATTGTTAATTACCAATATGCTTCCTGTTAACAAAATCTGAACATGCATGCGATGTTTAAAACTTAAACCTCTTCAGAGTCATGATCTGGATAACTCTTTCATATTCCTTTTTTTTTTTTCCTTAAATAGAATTGCATCTCAGTCTTCATCTTTCCTGAACTCAGATCGGAAGCTGAGCAGTCCTCAAAGCTGCAGCAAGTAGATCTTACAATGTCAGCCCCATGTCAGACTTCCAAATTGTCCCAAAACAGTGCACATTCTCTCCATAGTTCCTGCCCTCTGGCATTCAGCTGTGTACAGTCCAGACACACAATAAATGGAGCAAGCAGCAGTTGTTTTGTTTACCTAAAGCAGACAGCGAACAAGCCCTAAATTAGGTCAGGAAGATTTTTTTTTCTCCTGGAAATCACACAGTAATGTTCTTTTCCAAAGTTTTACTCCTTGTAATTATAAAATAAATATTACATTTTCTCAGTCACTATCCCAACATTATTAGAGTCCACACATCATTTTCCCTCCTCATTTCAGCATGCACAGTAGCAAACTCTTTTAAATGGCTTATTGAAATGATCATAAAGAGAATGACTTCTCTATTCCCAAACCCTTTCTGGTGCTACTGTCCATTTCCTACTGCAGAGTGTACAGTAAGCTCAGAGCTGAACAGGACCAGGTGCCTTTTCAAATTCCTTTTGGAAGCTGGCTGATCACAGAATTTGACCTCGATGTTGCCGTCACTGAATGCTTCCCTCCTGCCTTCATCAGAATCCATGAGATCTCTCTGAGATGCACTTGGCTTTTGCCTTCTCATGGTAATTCCTGAGTTGCCAAGTTGCCTGCTTGGGGATGTGTTGTCTTTCATAATGCAGAAGCAGAGGGCAGACAGAAAATTTTTCTTGAAGTTCTCATTCATGAAAGCATACACAATAGGGTTGCAAATAGAATTGAAGAATCCTATGATCTGGACAATTGCAAAGATCATTTTGATTGTCACATCATCATACTCCTTCTCAAAATTACCTGGAGAGGAGAAGAGAGAGATGCTGTAGGGACAGAATGTCATAAATGCTTACTACTTAGCCTCTTTAAATCCAGTTTGGTATTAGATGTTTTTGTTTAAAATCAACAAAAACCCATGCTGGAAGTTCTTAACATTAGCAATTGAGTTTCGTCAACAAGATAAAATCAAGACTTATCACATGGTCCTGCTTTGTATGTAGGTGGTAACATAATCAAAAGAAAGAAAATTTATGAGCCAAAAAAGCTGACTGGCCAAACCATTGATTTATCTGCTACAATCTTATTTGTGATAGGAGACAAAGACACAGATCCTGCCTTTAGCAAAGTAGAGTACAACTACTGCAAATTTCCTCTTGTTCTTGCACATAGACTGCTGCAGTATCCACGGAGGAGGTGTGAGATGAACAGTGGAATACCCCAGAGTATAAAAAAAAGCCATCACAACAAGCATTGAGGGCATTTCCAAGCCAGTTTTCAGCAAAGAGCACTGAAAAACTCCAGATGGATTCACTGGATGTCATCACTGTGATGTCCAGTATTTGTATTTCCAATATGCCTACCTCAATAAAAGGGATAAATGTTCCATTTTAAGTTGAACTCAAAACAGTTAAGTTATATGAAATATAATTAAAAACTTCATGACATTTTATGCTCAGAAATAACTTTACCTTCCAGCCAAGTCCTTTTAACCTCTCAGCAAATGAGGGCAGCATAAGAGACATGCTAAGAAAAAGAATCTACACAAGGATGCTCACCCCTCTAATAATCTTGTTTTTCCTTAAGTCTTTTTTTATAAGCAGAACATCAACCTTTGCTATCAGAAGGTATTCTAGAGCTAAATGCTGTAGCATCATTAGCTTTTCACAATATCATGTTCCATTACTAAAACAAAACCACAAAACCCTGGCTTTATTCTGTGAGATATGGCAGATACTCACTGTACTCCATCATCATGTGAATCACATGGAAAGGGGCCCAACAGACTGCAAAGAGAAACACCACTGTCACCATCATAACAATTGCTCGCTTCTTCTTCCTGAAATTGCACCAAGAATTCCACACTGAATCACTGGGAACTGACTGGCAGTTACATCTCTCTCTTCAAGTTAGATCTGTGACTGTGTTCTGATGGCTGCAGATTCAAACAAAACCCTCAAGGAAAGCTCAGAAGTACACAATCCCCTTGGAAAGAAAAAAATGCATCATCATATAAATCTAGTGCTTTATTTCTCTATTTTGGGACAGCAGAGCACTTTGCAAGACATTAGTATGTTTTGCAAGGCATTTTCAACTCTATCCAGGAAAACTAAAAAAGTCAGGAAAAAAGCCTTCTAGAAGTCCAAGTTCCAAGTGCATTTTGCTTACAAACCTTGATATTTTAGACATTTCATTCCCATGAATGGTTTGAAGAACTGAAGCATCTCCCACTCGTTTCTTAATCCAGAGTTCATAGCCAATTTTAGTGTACAAGAAAAGCATCAGCATCAGTGGAAGAAGGAAGAGTATAACAAGAATAAAGGTCGTATATATCTTCTGATAAATGGGACTGGCCCATTCTTCCAAGCAACAAACATGCACTTTCTCATATAGAAAGTCATATTTAACCTGCAACAAATGCAAAGATGTGTCACTAAGGTGTTTATCCCAAGTGTAAAATCCAAGCACATTCAGATATTCCTTCCTCTTAATGGAACAACCAAAATTCAACAGATTTTTCAGAGTGACAAAATTCTTTCAAGCACTTTTCCAATCAAAATATTGAGTTTAATCCAAATTGACAAAGAGAGCCTGGGAGACGCTCTGATTTGCACTTCAAAGGAGACCTTGGCTACACATTTTGCAAGTAAAGATGAATTTATAGAAACCTCACATTAGCCACTTTAAAAAACAATAAAAATATTAACATTTAGACTCACAAGCAGCAGATTGTGCCACGCCTCCTGCCCAACCTCCAAATGTGTGTGGTAACTCCTCAACTATAATGAGCAGCTAATTAATCTTAAGCTAAGCACAGTTCTTCCAGATCTTGGGGAGCACTGTGTCACCCTGAAACAGCAATCTTAGCCCTCTATTCCTGTGTACCAGTGCAAAAGAAAGCCACAGTGCAAATCAGAGATGTAACTACTGTGATTAGGGAGAGTAGGCATTGACTAGTCCCTGCTTGTATTCCCTCTTCCAAAGTGCATGCAAGTTCTAATCCTTAGCCTTTCCCAGGCTGGCACGCAGAACCACAACTCCACCTCCCTTACCCCCCTCTAGTTCCACAGGAGGTGACTCCATTTCACCTAAAGGTACAGGAAGATCCAGCAAGGACTGAGTTTAATAAGCAAGTCCTCATTTGCCCTAACCTACCTCAAGCCGTTGCACGTACCACATGGGTGACCCAACAATAAGAGCCAGCAACCAGACTATGCCTGTAAACAAATACATTTTTTCATAGTTTGTCCAACAAGCAGGATTTGGTATGAACAGTTTAACAGCTTTGAAAAGTCAGGCAAGGTAGAAAACTGTAGCAAAACACAGTTTTCTATCAGTCAACACTCACATCAATAACAGCATGCTCTTTTGACATCAGCTTTCAGTTTCTCAAGCTACCTCCATTTATTGATATTCCATGGGAAAAACACTTAATCTGCATAAGGAGCATTAAATTAACCTCTTTGTGTAACAATGGAAGGATCATTTCCCTGTGACATATCTTAAGCAGCGCTTGTACATTTTGAACTTTGCTTGAAATTAAAAAAAAAGAAATGGCTGCTAAAGGTTTATCTTTGTTGAGTACATTTTTTACTTCAGAAGTTAAGTCCCTTGTGAGAGTTTTGGCTAGTGATTACTTTACTTGTAGGCACTATCCTTGAGCTATTTTATAAAGGTCAATTAACTCTGCCTCTGAATCACTGGTCATATCAGAGACTTCTGTTCTGCCATGCCATGCACACTGAAGATTATTTCCCACACACAATTACCAGAAATGCTTGAAATCTTACCAAGCATCGTGAAAGCTCTTTTATTTGTGTACTGCCACTTCATTTTTAGTGGATGGACAATTCCCTGGTGTCTTTCCACAGCAATGCAGGTCATTGTAAGAATCTCAGTTACAATAGCAGTGGACTGAACAAACGGCACCATCTTGCAAGCGAAGGCACCTGCAATGATCAGAAAGTAAGGCATGCAACAGCTATTAACACCAGACTCCATTATTAAAAATAACAGACCAAGATTTTTAGATTTATTGTAACATCTAAACTGCTAAGTCACCTATTTAAGCCATTTGTCAATGCAGCTCTCCATAGCAATTCTTTATTGTAGGCATCTGCAAAGCCAAGATTTCTAAGGACATATTCATTTGCTCTGTTACCAGTCTGACACTTACTCCTATTTCACTTTTGACCAAGTCTTCCATCATCTGTTTTCAACCATGTTAAGTTACAGAGCAATTTATTATTTTTTCATTTTGGCAGATTACTCTCCAGTTTATGAAGGTCTGAGTGTTACCTGTTTAAAAGTTTGCCTTTTCTGCTGTTGCGAACACATTCCTTAAGCTTGTTTACACATCACCATCTGTACACATCAGCATTTAATGCATGATCCTGTCAAGTGAGATATATAGAGGAGGCGGCATAAGAGGAAAAATCAACCTCTTCATCATCCTTCTGTTTTCCAAGTCTCCCTCTCTGCTGATTACCAAATTATGTTAGTGCTACTGTGCAAAACAAGTGCAATTTCCTGCCTGCATTTTCTAAGTTGTACAGATACATTGTGTTTATACAACTTCAACTTTTATTGCTGCCACAGCTTTCCAAAGTATACATTCAATTCTTAACATATCAGTCATTCTCCATTACCCATTCTCAAGTCCTAGCCATCTTAGAAAGTGGTACAAATTATTCTGTAAGAAATCTTACCTTAATGCCCTTCCCAATCTACTTTTCATTTACCCATTTTTGACCCTGAGATAAATTTCTCTGTCCATATTTCCACAGTTCCCTTACACTCTTACAGTTCAGTATCAGCTATTCATTCCAGCAACAGTCAGGGTTATTTTCCTTACTAGACCATTTTTAATGCCTTACTCAAATATAATCTATAAACTCAAAACAGCCTAAGAAGTATCTGATCCAATTTTCAGTCACGTTTTAAAATGCTACAGACACCTTAAGCAGTAACAGCACAGAAAACAGACAGAAAACTAACAGAAAACTCTGAAAACTTAATCCTACCTTCCATGAAGGGAACAAGGAACAGGGAAACTTCTACTTGATAGGCCAGGCTAAAAGCCACTCCAGCTTACAAGAAGGAACTGGTTTGCTACTGGTCTTACCAACTCTAGTTGCTCAAAAATCCCTTTTCCTGTGACCCCACAAAGGGAAGGAGAGGAAAAACAGCAATGGGGGAAAAGGAAGCACCTTTCAAGTACATATTCAACCCAGCAACACAATGGATGTGCACACAGGCCTGGCCTAAACCAAAATAAAAACACACCATGCAGCCCAGTTTTAAGTTCCTTGAATGAAATCTTAGCATGGCCAGTAGGAACTGCATGACTGAGGATGTAGAGCTGCATGTCTGTTTTTCACCTGGTATGCATTTTTGCAGAGCATCAGGAAGAGCAAGACAAGACATCTTCACATCTTGAATCAAATGCAACTTATAAAATAAAATTCCCCCTGCTTCTTCCTTGGCATCAGAAATGCCTAAGGAAATGCCTCATGAAACAGAGCCAATATTTTACTAACTCAGCATCTCATCAGTTTCTCACTACACCCAGTACAGGACGTGCTGCACATCCAGCACCAGACCCACTCTGTCAAATTCACGTCCTTCACTCAGTGGGCTTAAACTTCTGTTGTGAGATAAAACCAAAGGCAAGCTCAAATCCTACCTACTCCGCACACAGCAAATGGTGAATGCAACCAAAGAGTTGGTTTTACATTTTTGCTTCACTAAGTTAGAAGGGACTCCTGCTACAAATAACAAACAGAAGACCTGAACTTGTTAATGAAATGCTTAGGTTCCTGTTTCGCTAAGGAAATGAGTTCAAGTCTTACTGCTGAAGCTGGGAGAAAACCAAAAACAAACAAACACAAAACAAAGCTAAAAAAACAACTCAAACTTTCACCACAGGCTATTTCCTACAGTTTGAAAAAGGTCAGACTTAAATTAAAACCACTTGAACTATACCTGCCTTACAGGGATTTCCCTGTAAGGCATTACTCCTCCACTGAAGTCCCAGCATCCCAGGGTATTCTTAGGAAGCAAAATAGTATCACTATTACACAAGTAACAAAATGAGACAAAATTTCACCATCAGTCTGCTGGAATTTCCAGCAGGTGCCCAGCTATTCAAAGAACAAAGGGAACAACCCCAAACTGGGAGAGAACTCTCAAATTCCCAGATGCTCATTGGTTTTTTACAGATGTCTTCTCATTTTCTTCCCAGCAACCACTCTGTCAAAGAGCACAGACTACCACTCACTATGCCTTGAGCTGAAATTCCAGGAGAAAAGGCTGCATAAAATCCCTAACTCATCTTTTTGAAGACACACACACAAAAAGTAAGCACTTAAGCTATACAAAAGTAGCTAAATGCAAAAATCTACATAATGCCTGCAGGTTGAGCCTACTGAGCTGGACAAGTGACATTAGCACTTCTAGAAATGGGAAGCAAAAGGATATTTTCCATTAGACACGGTTGGAATAGACACACCTGCACACAGCACACACTTTGGGGATTTGGAGGCCACAGCAAAACAGCCACAAAGTTTTTTTATAAACAAGAAACACCATGATATTTTCAAATGAATAGAAGGTAAAAGCTAGTCAAAAAGCCAAAAATGTACCAAAAGTAAAAATAGAACAGATCTTCACCTTCCCTGAAGCTTCTGATGCCACTATGCAGAGGGTCTCTGGGTGTCATTGTTATTAACAATATAATATCCCTTCAGGGCTCTTGTGCTTGCCCTGAATTGTCACTCACTACACAAATGCTTCCAGTTTCTGAAATCACAAGACCCTCAAATGCCTTGAAATTCAAACCTCCTTCAAGGATAAGAGACTGTTGAGCAAGGAAATGCAACCTCCTTCACACAAGTATTTAAAAGAGATTTGCTTGGGGGGAAAAGGAAAATAAACTGTCAGGGCCAACTGAAGAGCCATCAGCTTCAATGGAATTCTGACATTAACACACCTGAGATCCATCCACCATCCTTACTGTGTTTGAATGGGACTTAATACTGAGATACCACGAGCCTTTGTACTTGGCAGAATAGTCGATGTTCTTCACATCAAACCTCTTTTTAGTTTTCAAACCCATTGTTTTATTTGTCAATATACAGCAGCCATGCCCAACTGCTTAGATAATTACTACAGACTTTCTCCAGATCTTTCAATACTTTAAATCAAATAATTTATGTTTTCAAATGACAAACATTAACAGGCCTTTGCACATGGAAAATGAAATCTACCGTTAAATAAGGTAATTATTTCAGAATAATGCAAGCACATGTCACTTAATATTTAATCCATTTGTGTAGAACAAGCTTCACCTGCAGCAAGAAGAAATTGATAAAACCCCATTCTCAAGTGTCTGTTAATTGAAAGTCTCTTATGGAGAAACTCAGAAAAAAGTGCCAAATTTTATTTTAAGGAAGACAAGGTAAGTTTTGAGGAAAAAAAATTAATTACGCTACTACATCATAGTAAATACAGTGAAATTAAAATAAGACTGAGGCAAAAAAACAGCTGTGTCAAGCACATACATTAAAACCATTTCAAGTGAATGCTCACATTTGTGTTCAGACTTAACACAGAGTAACACAAGATTTTAAAGGACTATACTAGCTTAAATCTTTGTTATAATCCAGCAGGTAAGAATGTGGCTGTTTGGAACACGGTTTGGAGATTATATGACTAACAAACAAACACAAAGAATAAGAGCCCACTTCAGTGATGTTCAGTCAAGGTCATTGAAATCTCACTCCATAAGTTTTCCCAGTGCTGGGTTAAAGGCTAAAGTCACTTCAAAATCACTGGAACCATGTTAATTTCTGCACTGGTGGCAGTACAGAAAAGTGTTGACTCTTCTGAATAATTTAATAATTTAAATAATATCTTAAGTATGTATCAAAATGTTTAAATTCCACACTGTTAAGCTTTCAGAGAACACTTCCAACAGACTGTTAGTCAAGACAGCACTGCAGTATCTAATACTGACCACTTTCAACTGGGAAAGTAAATCATTTGCAGCAGAATGCTGGGAATGAAAATAACTCATTGCTTCTCTTTTTCAAGAGACTAAAAGTATTCCTTATGCACTGCTTGCTAAAAACTGCATAGATTATTCAAGCAGTCAATAGTTTTCCCAATAATAACACATTCAGAGACTGCAAATATAAATAGCATTCCCATAAATATTTTATGCCTTCATTATCGGACATTGTGCCTGGAACTGTGATTTAAGTCATTTCAAATATCACTTCTTTTATCAGGATTATAAAAGTAAAAGCCTGAAACTATTCTCTGATAAAAGTTAAATTGCTGCTTCCTCTGGTAAAATGCTGTTGATTATGCCCTTGCACTAGAATTTCTGTCACAGCTTGTAATGAGCTCTCTCCACCTGACTTGAAGCAAGCAAGTTGATTTTTCTCACATTTTTTAACTTGGGGCAGTACACATCAGTCATCATCACACAGATGATATCCCTAAGGCTGTTGCATACCTGGGTAATGCATTGTTTTACATAAGTTCTTGGTATAGATGCAAGACTTAGTTCTCATCCCTAGCGAGGAATGTGTTCTCACACAGTGAAGTTCTAAGGTAACACACTGCTGCCTCCCTCCTATGACTACATGAGAGCAAGTCCTCAACTGCTTCAGCTTGCACCAAGACACACTGTATAGATGCTGTATGCATCCATTTACTCCCACTTGAGCTCCCGTTTCATTCTTCTTATCAATAAATACGATCCAAGAGATCATTTATGACAAAGCCATAATCTTCATTTTCTTTTGCATTACAGAGATGAGTATGCTGGATTTTCATTCAAAGCTCCCCATGAAATTACAGCCATTTCAGCTGCGAAGTTTAAATTGGGAAATCAAATCATATACTGTCACAATTACACTCACACAGCTACAAAGATTCTTAAAGACACCAGAGAATCAAAGGCAAGACTGGTTCAAATCTCTTTTTAGTCAATATGTGCCGCTTCCAGTTGTTAACCCACAAAGAGTTAAAGGGTCTGTGTTAATGCTGCTTGATCATCAGGCAAAGTGAGGCGCACTGAGATTTTTAACTGCAGCTGAAGTTAAGAGTGTGTGAGTGAAAATACGATGGAAAAAGTCACAGCTTCAGCTACTCTAAAACTGTGGCATTACAGTGTTTGCAGTTCTCTCCTTCCCTCTCCCATTCTTCTGTGGGTTTCAGAAGGGGAAGAAACAGTAACACACATATACGAGCATGGAAATAAACAACCAGTTCTAAATTAAACACAAGTACAAAACAGACACATCTTGGTTCACATTGCCTAGTACAGATGCTTGTTTTAGTGATGCAAGTAAATCAAGATATAAAGTGACTCAAGGCTCAGAATCCCCAATCCATTCGCAGCATCAAGTGTCTCAGGATGCACCACTTTGTCCACCAAGGATACATCACAAGTCAAATCACCTTTTTCATAACAGAGTTGGATCTTGCACTACTCAGTGATGTGCATTACAGTGGATGAGAATAAGATTTTTTCACACTCCAAAATGAAAGGCAAAAGGCATATTAAACCAGTTAAGTCAGCAAGGAAAAGACTCTTCCAGGACTGCCAGGCTCTGATTTGCAGTACAACTGTCATCACCACTCACGCTTCACCATGGAAGCATCAGAAACCAGATACCCTTGGGATACCATCAGTTTGTGTATTTGTTTTCCTCAATGTCACTTCACAGCCCCCATCCCCCAGAATAAAGGGTTAACACCCATCCATGATAGTATGTGCTCCAAACACTCTGTCAGTTCAAGGTTATGATTTCACCAGATCAAAAGACCCATGGATTCACTTGTACTGAAAATGCTCTAGCACAGCAAAAAGGGCAGGAAAAAATACAGTAATCCCCAGAGATCACTGTACTCTAGCTGCTCAAATATTGAATATCTGAAAAGATTTGTCATAACTATGCTAGACCTTTTACATTCACTACTTCTAGATTTTTGTCAGGCACCCTCAGTAACAGTGTCAATAAAGACATACATATTTTCCCCATACTGTTCCACATGCCCATGCCCTATCTCCTGTAATTCACCCCACACAGAGGCTTCATCTGATTATGATCAGATGTTTGGTCAAGCTGACAGATCAGAGCCTTCCTTAGGACAGAGAAGAATCACAAACGTTATCTTCCCCAAAACAGCTCATAAGAAAATAGCACAGATGTCCTTACTATCAGTCCCAGGAGCTCTGGATTCATTACTTCTCATTGAAGTTCCTGTAATAAAGCCCATTTCTCACATGTGCTCCAAGTCTCCTCTGACCTGTCAATTCCCACCCAGCATTCTAGTCTGGGGGAAGTTCTGGAATTAAATCTCCATGTTCTGACAACCATCACTGTTGTCTCCAAACAACAGAAACACAGTAAGCCTTGGAAATTGAAACATCAATGTGTCACTTTATCAACACCTTTCCTGATCATTCTGAAATAGTCTGAAAAATATTTCAATTTGTGGTTGTACAAAATGTTGTCTCCTACTTGCTGCAAACCCACCCCTTTTATTTTTCCACTTATAATTGTCAAACACAGTTTAAAGGGAAAAAAAAAACCAGGAAAATAAATACCATATACAATTCTACTGTGCTTTTCTCTGCCTGCTCTTTACTACTTTGGAACTGGGATGCATAGAAAAGGAAGAAATATTCCTTCTTTCTAGACTTCAGGTAAGCTTTGCCAAAAGGTTCTTCACATCAACAGGAATACAACATAGCACCCAAGAAAAAAAATAATTTAAAAATTTTAAAGGATGCATTATTTTAGCATAAATTCCATGTCCTCTCAGTCACTTGTTCCTTTAAGGACATTCTTTTTCCTCACAAAAGGTTAAGGAGGACTGGCTACGAGCTGACAGCTGTCAAAGGAACTTAAGCTGTATAAAGACTGATACCTCACTTGCCAGACAGATTTCATTACTTAGCGAGAAAAAAAATAAATAAATAAAAGGAGAAAGTAGTACGGCAAGGTTTCCACACAACGAACCGCTTCCCACACACAGACCGCAACTTTGAAGGAATACAAGCAGGAAAGCGGACTGGGTTATTTTAACACAACCCGAGGGAGGGCTGGAGAGGCCATCCCTCGCAGGGGGCGGGAAGGGGAAGGGTCCCTCAGAGAAGGGGGAACGCGGGTCCCGGCGGCGGCGCTGCCCCCTGCCCGCAGCCCGGCCCGGGACCGCCCGGCCCAGCCCGGCACCCACCGCCGAGCCAGTTGGAGGAGATGTTCTGCAGCATGGTGAAGGGCACGCAGAAGAAGGCGATGAAGAGGTCGCTGAGCGCCAGGGAGCAGATGAAGATGTTGGTGACGGTCCTCATGGCTTTGCTGCGGGTCACCACGTAGAGCACCAAGCAGTTGCCGAAGAGCGCCAGGGCGAAGATGAGAACGCAGATGAGGACGAAGGCCACCTTGGTGCGTCTCGGCAGCTCCGGGATGTACACCAGCGGCTGCAGCCCGTAGAGAGCAATGAACTGCTCCCGCGTCACGTTGTTGTCCCGCAAGAGCTGCGCGAACTGCTCCGGGGTGATGTTCAGGGACCGCATTGCGCCCGCTCGGGGACCGACACCCCACCCTCAGCGCCGCCGCCCGCGTCCCGCCGTGGCCGGACCACTGTCCCTCCGGCGCTCGGCCGGGCCGAACCCCGCGGTGCGGCGGCGGAGAAGGGAGCGCGCAGGGCCGGGAGCTGCCCGCGGGCGGCGGCGGCGGCACCTCCGCCCCGACACAAACTTGGAGCGGCGGCGCCGCCCGCGGCCGCGTCGGGCTTGGGGGGGCGGCGGCGGCCAATCAGCGCCGGGCGCGCACCCGCCCCGGCCCCGGCGCTGTGGAGCGGCACGGGCGCGAGGCGGCTGCTGTGGGGGGGCAGCGCGCGGGGAGCGCCTCAGATCGCCGCCCCTCACAGAGCGCTGCTCTCTCGTGAGCCCTCACAGCGCTGGGACCCCCCTCACAGCAGCGCTGCTCTCTCACAAGCCCTCACAGCGCTGGGACCCCCTCACAGCAGCGCTGCTCTCTCACAAGCCCTCACAGCGCTGGGACCCCCCTCACAGCAGCGCTGCTCTCTCACAAGCCCTCACAGCGCTGGGACCCCCCTCACAGCAGCGCTGCTCTCTCACAAGCCCTCACAGCGCTGGGACCCCCCCTCACAGCAGCGCTGCTCTCTCACAAGCCCTCAGAGCGCTGGGACCCCCCCCTCACAGCGCTGGGACACCTTCACAACTCCCCCTCACAGTGCTGGGACCCCCCTCACAGCAGCGCTGCTCTCTCACAAGCCCTCACAGCGCTGGGACCCCCCTCACAGCAGCGCTGCTCTCTCACGAGCCCTCACAACGCTGGGACCCCCCCCCACCCCTCACAGCAGCGCTGCTCTCTCACGAGCCCTCACAGCGCTGGGACACCTTCACAACTCCCCCTCACAGCGCTGGGACACCCCTCAGAGCTTCCCCTCAGACCCTCATACACCTGCCCCTCAACCTCCCATTGCACTGGGACCCGCTCATGGCTGCCCCCTCACAACATTACAGCCCACTCACCAGTGTCTCCCCGGCCCAGTGTGGCGGCACAACGCCCAAGGTGGGTGCTGCAACTCCCAAACCAGCCTCTCCTCACTTTGGGATCAGGCTGAGAGGGAAAGGAAAGCGATGATGCTGTGGGGAACATGGCCTCCTACGTGACGGGGGAGCACATGCCACCCACAGCCGGTCAGGCTGCTGCTGGTTCACGCCCAGCCCAAACAAGACAGTGCAGGGATTTTATCGGCCCTTCCAGCCCCCTTTGTGCCAATGGCACTACAAGCCCTGCCCAAAGCTCGAGCAGAAAAGCAGTTTTCTAACCTTCACTGAGAGGACAGGAGGCTCCTGAAGACCTCTTTCGCAGCAGTACAAGCACTCTTGCCAGAGGACATGTGACCGAATCCATCCTACACAACCTGGTTGGCAAGGCTACACAGGTAAGGTCATGGAGGCTACTGAGGTGCACTCAGCTAAGTGGCTGCAAAGGAAAAAAAAAAAAAAAAAGCCTTTGCAGTTTAAATATGGATAATAATGATAATAAAGGTCTAACAGAGGGACCAAGTTGAAAATACGCTTTGACTTCTCTTCCTGCCTAATTTAAATTGCCCAGTACAGCTTTCTCACTATCACGGATAATATCCCCTTTGTATGATATTGCATTGAATGGCAACAATTTGCTTTAATCAGTCACATAAGAAATTACCAAAAAGTATGCAGAGAAGGCAATAACAATATGACAGCCTGTTCTGGCAACACTTCCCACCCTCACAGAAATGGATGTTTCATAGGGAAACCACATCACCAACAAGAATGCTGCAAAATAACATTTTGTATAGAACGGATGCTCCATGGCCTGGGTACATAATTTTACCTGTACAAGGGAACCTCTAGAAAAGAATGAAGAAAAGTCTAGCAAAAGCTGTTTTTTTTATAGAGTTTCTGGCTTGCGAAGGAAATTTGGAGAAGGAAGATTTCACTACCAATTCATTTGCAGCAAAATAAATATGCTCAAGGTATTTTGTGTCATCTTTGAAAAATAGGAAATTCTGTTAAGTGGAATTCAATGGAGAGAAGTTCCAACGCCTGCATTAACCTGTGCTGCTTCAGTCCTCCAAGTGCTGACAACCCTCTCTTAAGGTATATGTCCATGGCAAAGACTTTATTGTCCCATGGTGAGAGATGTCTCTTTGCTTGGGTGCAGCATCACCATGTATTTTCCACTTGAGGCAATGTCACCAAGCACCTTTTCTGACAGGCTTTCTAAGCCTTGCTGTGGAAGGCAAATGCTCTTTAGACTGACTTAGATACTGACAGCTTCTTTCACATGCCTTTAGGCCTGCCTTGTTGGCTGGAAAACTTGGTCTTTTATTCCCATCATGATCCTGCTGAGCTCATGCTCTGTATCACACAGAATTCTTTAGAGATCAATTTTCCCAGCACCTTCCCTTGAACTATCCACCAACTACACCAGGTACAGCCTGAAGCGACCTTCATGTTCTCTGTGCACACATCCTTTCCTTTTCCTCTTTTTCTTTTCCCTCTTCCCCCTCCACTTTGTGCTGGTAACAGAAACCTCATTTCGGAGCTCTTCTATTAACATACACGCCAGATGTGTTTCAGCAGATTTCATTCCTGTTGTAGATAAAGGGCCAAACCTGGAGGCCAGTCTGTCATCCTGGACTGCAGTGTTGTGCTGTTCATTGTAAAAAGCATCCAAGTGTATCAGGAACAAATAAATGGGAATAAGCTCTCACCTAAATACTGCAGATATAGCCTGGGTTTATGGTTAGCATGGACATTTGTGTTTTCATATATCCTTGTTTTATTACTATGATTGCTCATTACAAGTAATCAAACAGCATTAAAAATGAGCAACATCTGAATGATTATTCCACAGAATATAAACAAATTTTGAAGCTGTAGGCAATGGATGGGTGCCATTCCATCTAGTGCAGATTTAGCTGGATTTTCTGCATGCAAAGAAAGGCCTAATGCAGATTATTTTACAGATAGCTTTTCTTGTTAATACGTACCTACATGGAGAAGATAAATGTAGGATTTATAGGAACTTTCATTTTCTTTGAGCATTGTCCATCCTCTTAGCTGAAAAAATAAGAGCAGAGACATCATGCAGGTTGTAGGGCAAATCACTAGTAACTATTTCCCCACTCCTGGACTTGAATTAAATTTTATTTGGAGTTAAATGGGTTGAGTTACAAACCTCATCTCAAACCTGTTGAAATTACTGAAATGACTTCTCTGTTTCCCTGGGCTACAAATAATTGGCAGGTATTGAAAAGTGTTTACACTTCAGGGCAGTGCCTCATGTTCTGCCTTATCTTGTGCCCACTGCTTCAGCTTTTGCTGCTTCCTGCAGCCACAGAGCAGAGCTGTGTGGCACTGCCCTGACTCTCCCCATGCAGTGAAATCACCGGCTATGTAAAAATGTTTTATCTAGAACTGGAAAGAGAGGTTGAGCAAGTCTTCTTAACCAAAAAGATATAAAATTGCTTTGTCAATTGACATTCCTACTTCAAAGATTTGAGCAACTTTGCTACTGCCTTACTCACCAAAATATGAGAAATATGTACATACACACATACCTTTGTCCTGCATGACTGCTTTCAGATTTTAATGATGATTTTTCCAAATTCTTATCAGCAACCTTCAAATCCACTTCTGATACCCTGAAGCCTATGGAGTTCTGATATTTGCATCAACAGGACATGGGTCATGCCCTTACATAATCTCTGCAATAACCAATTAATCTCTGCTCTAAGTTTTTAGTAGCCTGTACATAATAATAATAAATCACAAGGCACTGTTCTGTTTCTTTGACAATTATTTATTAAACTGATGCATTTATAAATATAAAAGAGGGTATAAAAAAGCCCAAAATCTTCTAGTAAATAATTGATTATATGGAAACAACCCATTTCTCATTATTTTTAACTGAAAAAGAAAAATTAGGCTTCCTACTAGTTAAGTGGCTAGAAATATTTTACTTCTCTATCTAGAATCCCAGTGGAAAAAAACTGGCAACTTGAATACAGATCAAATCTTGGGTAACTCTCCTTTTGCTTCTGAAGGATTGTATATTCTTTGGTCACAAACTGACAGGCTGATAAGCACAGAAAGGTGTGAAATGTGTGTTGTACCAGATTGCACTCTTATCAAAATCTCTCATTGCTTCTTGCCACCATGTGCTAATTTGTTTTTTGCCGACGTGATTCATCTGCACGACACTTCCTTCTCATTCAAAAGAGACCATGGATTTTCTGCAGACTGAGAAATCCTGTTAGTCAGTGAGGAAACTTTTCTCTTACAGAGAGGTAAGAAGCTGTAATTGCACTCTGTTCCCCTTCTATCAGCTCGCAAAGAGATGCGCATCTGGCATATGTGAAAAAAGGGGTGACAATAAAGAATGTGCCTTCACAGTTTTGCATAAGTTTTGACAACTGAGCATGAAGTTTGTAGAAACTGTGAACAGCAGACATTTGGAACTCTGAAAAAGCACATGTTTACTGCATAATCCTAAACCAGAAATTTTAACACATTTTTCCCCCCTTCCAAATCTCTACCCATGCTGTCTAGTTCAGGCAAAAGAGATGGTAAAACTAACAAAGCATCCTTTTTCTCCTCCTCTTTTATTCCCTTGACACATCAAAATACTTTGGAAGAGACAAATCAGATGTGTGGCACCAACTTCTAAACAGCCACTTCAACCAGTGATTAGTAAACCTTCCTGGCCTTGGATCCTTTGGTAGATACCTTGGGGTTGAACTCCCCTCTAATCCAGATCAATACCACAGATTTTAGGATGACTCTTTAAAGTAATGGAACAGCTTACCATCATCATTAGGTATTTTTAGATTAAGTCAGAAACAGAATTGTTCTTAAAATTGTCAAAGCAGCCTCTGAAACACAAATTTAGATAAAGCATTTGCTGTTGTTGAGTACTTATGTTTGGAGAGAGCACTGAGGCTAAAACTTCAACTTTAGATTTATATGCTTTTATACACTTTGCCAAACCATAAATTATCTCGGAAAAGGGAAAACTTGACACAAATTGAACTAGAATCTTACTTGGTATCTAGGGATACAGCTCAAAGTTGGTCTTATCAGTGTATACTTAATTTGGGCTATTATCTCATCTCCATGCATGGTTTACTTTCCATCACTTGTGGAAACAGGCAGCTTCCATAAAACAGTACTTATGAAGAGAAGC